TCCAAATTAGTAAAGGAGTGAAATATCATTCCCTAGATTGCATTTAGAGAAATAATTTTTCAATGATGAGTGAGTCAATATGTGAAAGTCATAAAATTTGTAAATACCTAGCATATATACAATAAAAATATGCCATGCTAACTTGACTGTGAATTAAAAAAAAAAAAAAACATTATCCAAAGATCTATAATTTGAAGAACATTTGGATATTATAAAAAGAAAGTTAGATAATAGAATTATACAATAAATTAAATAATCTTGGACTAGCAAGAACCACAACAATTATAAGACTCAAACAAGCACAAATCAAATATTGAAAATCACTTAAGGTACTGATTTGTGACTCACTAGATTATCTTATAAATAAAAGTAACTTTTTGCTTTAAGTAATTAAATTAGTCAGAAACATGGGGATTACTTTTCAAAGTTAGAAATGGTATGATATCTTTGAATGGAAAAAAAGAAATAATTTGATTAGAGAATATTTCTTACCTGAGAAATATAATAAAGCCATACTATTATTAAGAAATAAAGGTTGATATATATAAATCAACTTATTGACTATAAAGCAAGTGAAATAAAAAATTGATGTATGCTTCAACTCATCCAAAAAATAGACAAAGGTCCTATTCCAGAATAGTTCTTAAATATAAGTAGGATATTTTTCAAAGATCTTCTAAATCAGCTTATAGAATCATAAAAAATAGATTGAATAAAATATGAGTTAATATATTCTACATTTTGTCTTAACTATGACAAGAATAAAGATAGGTTCTTAAATGGGAAGGCAAAAACAAAAGTCAAATGTCTCTCACTAGAAAACATTAAAATTTTTAAATTAATAACTATAAAAAAACTATACACAATTGTTCTTCATTATATAAATCATTGATTTATAGTATTTCTTGACTTTTGTTTCTATTAAAGTAAAGAGCTATAAATTTTATTCTTCAAAAAGGGACATAAGTGATCTGCAAAATTTTATATGCTAAATACTTTAGAAACTTATCATTAAACAAGAAACAAAAAATACAAAAAAAATGTCAATCACTAATTAATATAGAAAAAACCACTATAAGAAGAATTTAAGAAAAAAGTAAAGATTGAATACTATAGGTGTCAGAATAGTAAAAATGATCAAGAGACAAAGCTAATTAAATGTATGGGTTATACGAAAGGTTTTATTTAAGACAAAATTGTATTATTAAGGAAGATATGGAAGATATATATATGATATTATATCTTAATACAAGAAAAAGTATTAGGAGAAAAAAATGCTAGCAATTCTATGTTTTACAATATCTCTGAAAAGAACAATCAGAAAAACAATAGATAGTAATTAAGTATTTGTATAGAATCTATAGAGACCATTCCAGCAGTTCACTTTTTAAGGTACTAGAATGAATCATATAAATATAAAAAGTTGGAAAGAAATGATTATTAAAGAGAATGTTAAAGAAGGAGTATATCAAGATCACCTAATAGAGATATTCCATTGTAATCAAGGATCCAAAAAAAGTTAATCTTCTATTTAGATAGATTATTAATTAATCATGATAGCAACAATATGAAGATGGAAGTAGTATGGATTCAATAAGTAAAACAGAAAAAGAAAGTAGATTTTAAACAGGAATAGACAGTTGGTCCTTATCCATATATGTAGAATTAATAGCAATAGTTACAATACTTTTGGTAGTTTCAATAAATAGTTTAATTGAAATCTCTATAGATAGTCAAGCCTATATCTCAAAATAAAAAATAGTTGAGAAAGATGATTCAAAAAGAACAGATAAAAGATGGCTAAAAGATAAAAACTAGTTATTATGGACATGAATAGCAAAGCTGATCAAGAAAAAAGATATAGATTTGAAACTTATCAAGATCAAAACATATTCTTAAAACCTCCATAATAATGAAGTAGATGTCTTAGTCAAAGATACTCTCAAACTTTTAGTAATAGAATAAAAAAATTTCATCTTATACAAAATTCTTACAAAAATCAAGTGGCAGAACAAAACTTTAGATAATCTTAATAAGACAATTCATTAAGAAGATAAATAACAAAACTACAGCATATTATAAAATAGAATGGAAAAGAAATAGAGCTACCAAATTCACAAATAACAAGATCATATATGGAATCTAATATAGGAGAGAATAAATAGTCATATATATAATATATTATATCTTTCAAAGATTTTTAAAGAAAAGGCTTTTTTATTAAGCTGATGAATGATAAGTTACCAATACTGGATAAATTAATGATAAGAAGACCAGACAAGCCAGTAAAATGTACTGCATGTAATTTTTAGGAGGAAGAAACAATTAATCATTTGCTAGAATGTTTAGTATATAAGAAATAGATAAAGAAGATATAAAATAAAGGTCTTGAATAAGTTCTGACGAATTTCAGAAAACTTTTACAAAAAAGGAAAAAGGAAGTAAAAAAGAAGAATATTAGATTAATAATTGATGACAGTAAAGAATTAGGTGAAGTAGACAAGTGGATATCTAGGCTAGTAAAATAGTTTTAAGCAACTAGTTAGGATATATTAAGTTTTTTTGCAAGGTTAATAAGAAGCAAACTTATTCTTAAGATGGCAAACCTTAAATACCATAGTAAAAGAATTGGAAAAAAAGCAAGAAAATGGATCAAGAAACTACAAAATACAAGTTGTAATCAGTTTTGGAAGAAGATCTAAAACACAAAATATGAAAAAATAATAGAATGAAAAAGATTGCAAGGAATCCAAAAGAAGGATAAGATAAAAAGATTCCCTAACCTCCCAGGTGCTAAAACTATATGACTGAAAAGAAAAGCTCCAATACTAGAAAAAGGAAGATTAGAAGACAAAAACCTAAAAAATATCTTATCAAGAGGGGTTTAAATTTGAAATAAGATGGTTGTGTTTTGAGTATTGTCAAAACTTGAAAGAGTGATCTGCAGTAATGACCTGCAGGCAATGATATTAAGAGTTGGAAGGGTTTTTACCTGAACTTTTAATGGAATGATAAATCACTTCCAAAGTTGCACTTAGAGTAGTAATTACAAAGATAAGTGAGTTAGTTAGCATTTTTTAGCTTTAGCGATGCATATTATATGTATAGTTTACAAATGTTTAATAAAGCACACATAACTAGCCTGACAGAGGGTTAAAAAAAAAAAAAGTAAATAAAGATTTATGGATATAAAATTAATAATTTTATTAGTACATTGATAATAATTATGCCCCTCATAATTTCAAATAAAGTCAACATGATATCAATAAAAAAAGATTTTTTTTTCACGTTATTTCAATATTTTCGCGAAAACGCCTTCCCAAAAGTTTACACATAAATAAGCATGTTTCGTTATGTAAAAACAACTTTATAGGAAGTTAGCGTGTATGAAAAATTGTACATAATGTGAGGATATGTAAGATATCTAATAAATGCTTTGTAAGTTAAATAACAAAAAAAAACCCTTCGGAATCCAGAATGAAGTGTAATAAATAAAAAATAAATTATACTAATCCGTATCACAACATTAAATCGCGGTTGCAGAAAAGAAAATCAAAATTCTAGTATAAAACTACTCTCATATACTTGACCAGTTCGCTTGTTGACTGCCGTCGCTTTAATTTCCATAGTACCAAAAGTTAAAGTAAATTCCACTAGACGATTTTTACCACGATGAGGGTCAGGTAAGTCGATTTTCATTTTACCCAACATCCTCATGCCCTCCTCATCACAATATCTAGCATTGTTATTTTGAGTAGTAAATATGTTGAAGGTCATGTCAGTTTGGTTAGGTACAACGGGCCCTGCTGTATAGCAGAATTTTTGATCTACAGCGACCTCAGTTCCACGTAGAGCCAACTTGTGGAATCGAAAGACGCGTCCAGATTCAGTTCTACGTTCGAATGGATCCGTTTTATCCCACTTTGCACTAACTTCTACGCCATAACAGAATTTTAAAACACGTGTTTGGATTACTTCCATGTGCAACCCGTATTCCAATGCTCCACGCACTATGGCAGCAATGGGATGTCTTGGCACGGCTATGATAGGAACTTGTGTCGCAAAATGCCTTCGAATTTGGGATTGTAGATATAGACTCTCACTGAATCCACCTACCAAGAACATTGCCGCGCACTTTCGTTCAGTCGAAGAAAGTTGCCTCTGGATTAATTCAATTATCTTATTCACAACAGGGTCAAACATGTCTTTTACAGATTGAAAATCAAACTCGACCAACCAATCGGCTTCTTCCATCTGTTCTTTAGCGTGTCCCTCAACATATTGAACAAGTGCCGGGCATACTCTTTCTATGTCTAATTCTTTGACGGAAAATTCAGTGGGATTTCCGTTAAATGCAAATTTAACTCGCGAACAAAACTGTTGAACCAAATATTGCATTTGACCATAATTATTTTCTTTCAATTTTCTCATTGCGGCATATCCAAGTTTCTTTCCAAGAAATTTAAGAAATTCTCGGTCGACGTATGAGCTACCACACAAGTCGCCGCTGCGTTCGGTGATTTCACTGAGCTTCATAGCAGGCAACAAAGTTCTAGTTGTTAGATCCACCGTACCTCCTCCACAGTCCACGATCATAAAAGAAGCTAACAGAAAAGAAATAAAAATGAATATTTAGTTTGTTACACCGTTACACGCCTCACTCGTCTGATAACAAAGAGAAATATTTACATCCTGGAGTTAATCGATATTCATTTAAACTTTTCATGCAGTATATGGCGGCTGCTTCGGCTACAATTGAATGAGATCACGTCAGTTTTATAAAATCTCGCTCGAAATTACATTTGCATCTTATCAATCCAACTCACGTTCAGTTGTGAACTCCAAATTTTCGGATAATCTATGATCCAAGTATCCAGCATTGTACATGCATTCTCTCATAATGGCCTTTGCCTCATGATGCCATTCTGCAGGTACCGAGCATACGAATCGTACCTGTGAAGGATATCTTAAACCTGAACTTTATTAAACACATGATGCATGACGATATTTGTATTAAAAAAAAAAAAAAAGAAAAGAAAAGAAGAGAAATCCGAACGAAATCAATTCTTTGATGAATTACCTGGCCATTTTGAATTTAGTGTTTCCAATATCAACTTTATTGTAAAAAAGATTTTTTTTTTTTTTTAATCGATTAAGAATCAACAATAATATCAATCGCCCTTTGACCATTAGATCAAAGACTCACTTTATTCATTTCATGTAAATAATCAGTAACGGCTCTCTTTGAATCCAGACCAGGTGGAAGTGGTGGTTTCTCATCCTCTTTTATATTAGCTAGATGCAATTTAAACAATTCCACAGGTTTTGGCTGTGGCCTGGCCGTTGATTTTATTCTTTTTGGAGGTTCTTGGGCCAAAGCAGGATAACCCCAAGCTACAAGCTGCAAATTTTCATCATAAGCTAAACATGTATTGGTCTTGAATGTTCCTTGTTGCCCTGAAATTTGCACATTCACAATGTCAGTCAGTCGTTGCAATTCTCCGGGGGGGTGGGAGAAAACAAAATTAAAAAGTTACCTGGCCACTAGGGAAAGGATTGGTCAAATTTTTAGATCATGAGATGGATTTTTTTTTTTAAAAAAAAAAACAATAAATAAACATCAGTTGGAAAAGCTAACCACAAAATTGTGGCGCAAAAAATGTACGCTATTGAGATACTTGTCACGTTGACACCCAGTTTGGGTGATTGCGGAATTAACTTACACTGTCATTCGTAATAATTTCTGGATTCACCAAGTTGGCTATGTAAATGGGCAGGATCTTTGTTAAATATAAAATCAATATTATCAGAAAAAAAAAAGAAAAAGAAAAAAAGTACCATATGCGAATCCCTAAGAGGGTTCAAAAAAAAAAAAAATTATATCAGCGAGTATTCTTAAGGAAAACTTTTAGGTTCAAGACATTAACTTACGGAGAACGTGGTCCCGAAATCTATATTGGTTATATGACAGTCAATGCAACAATTTAACTTTTCCTCATCCCAACAACTAAATTTCACTTACCTATAGAAACTACGACTCGAATGTCTCTTGCCATTTGACCTTTTAAGAATCCAGTAAGTTGCCTCTGAGATATAAAAGAAAGACCATATAAAGTATCCTCGTCTCGAAGCACACTATTTAGGTCAAGAAAAAATGCAGAATTCTGAATTCCTATAAATCCGGAGTTGCTAATAAAAATTCCGGTAAAAGCAAGTTTTTTTATTTGATTGAGAGTTATGACCTTAATAAGGTGGTCGGTACATGCGTATGCACAAAGGGTCGCACAAAATTAAGCCCTATTTTTTTATTATCGACAATGACACATTCTATTTATGTAACGTTCGTGCGTGCTTAGAACAATTTACCATTTTGAATCTACTGTATAAATTTTCCACGAGATTGTTTCACATCACAGTAATGATTTCAGATTCCCTTCGTTGATCTAGTACTTTCCACTTTTCGTACTCGGACTTGATGAGTTCAGTCATAGACCTTCATTCACTCGCGTAAAGAATTAATCCACTTCACACGTCTCTAACTTGCGTCCGCTCTTTAGCGGTTTTTGGATAGATACATCCTGGACCATAGAACTTACTAGACGAAGGTTTATTGATCCAGCTTTTTCATTAATAAAATAACTTTGCGCGTAATACATAGACGAATGTTGTTTTTTAAATGATAATGAATTTATCGTGTTTCGGCATTCATCCAATCCATCCTAACTTTTCAAAGAATTGAATACACGCAATCTTGGTATATAATCAAGGAAAGACTAAAAAAGACTCTTGTTTAAACCAGCGGATTTAACAAAAATGGTTTCTTTTATTAGCATAACTCGACAGTTACATTAACCAAAAAAAAAAACGCGTAACATCAATTTGATTGGGCGGATTCGTGCAACGTGTGATATCTGTTGCTTTAAATACAATCTCCGAGTTTTCCGGCAAAAGTTTCGAAAAGATAAAACGAAAATATTAATAATGTCAAATCCTTCGAGCACTTCAGATGTCCCTCCACCGGTACCAACCAAAAAAAAAAAGTTTCTAGGTAATAACTTTCTTTACTAAAGCATTAGGTGGCGTATTGTGTCAAAAATTATTATAAGCTACAGATGTCTTATTTACCATAAATAATGTTATTTATATGTTCGCGAAATTTATCAAGTTGATGAAAAAGAAGAAGAGGATTTGGAAAGCAATCAACTTTCATCAGATGCAATCGACGTTGCAGCGAAGTTCCAACGCGCGTTAGACGCATTTAAGAAATACAAAAAGCAAAATGGCATACTCGAAAAAGAAAAAGAGGATTTGCTTGCACAAAATTACAATCTTCGCATTCAGGTTGACCAAGCACGGAACTCCATAGATGAATTAGTTTCACGAATAGAATCAGAAAAAAGAAGATATCAACAAAGGGCCAACAATTCGGATCTCGAAATTCAAGACCTAAAGAGACAAATTATGCAATTAAAAACTGAAGCTTCTCAATTACAATCTCGTCTTGGAAGTGCGACAAGCGTTCATTGGGGTGATAACGATGCTAACAACTCGGTACAGCTTAAAAATACAATTTCTGGTATACAGAGCGAGTTGGAGGAACTTACCTCTGTTAAGGGCAAAGAAATAGTGATTAATGAAGAAAATGCAACACAGCTCTTTCAACAGTATAGATGTACGATGAGGACCGGAGAGGCAAAGGCTAAAGTGGTGTTGAGCGCTGTGCTACAACGTCTTATACTCGAGACCTTGTTTTTTCATCTCAACAGATATTTACTTCAATCCGATGCATCAAATCTCCGACAAAAAATTCAGTCACAATTACCACCTGCAAACCAACAAGCTTCACCACGACAACACAATCCTGTAAAACCCAACCCGAGAAGCTCGAGTCTTGGTTTACCTCATGCTCTTGAACAAAATAACAACCTTGAAGTTGAAATAACCGCGACAATGATCTCGTTATGCGACCTTTTAAGCCAACTCACCGAATCCCGTCAAGGATCTGATGACGTTTCACGTGTGACGCCTATAAAAATCCGTCAACAAATTTATGCCATCTTGGGAACGCGAGGATTTTGCAAGGAAGGGCACCCCTTCATCGAAAAACTATCCAACATAATCCTGGAGACTCTAGGTAAATATCGCCAATTTAAAAGCGAAGAAAGAAATTTGGAAGCTAGAAAGAAAACGATAGAATTGGTTAGGGAGATCGTGCACTTGTATTTTAGATTAAAAGCTCTAGAACCCGCGCCAGAGTTTAACGAATTTATCGAAGCCGGTTCAAGTATTCAGAATAACGTTATGGACGGATCATGGGATGATGATAGCACAGAAGATTTGGAAGTTGAAGTCTGCTATTTTCCAATAATTAGTGTCAAAAATAAAGATAATACCAGGAAGGTGCTTTGCAAGGGTCAAGTGATTACAAGACCAAAACAATAACTTTATGGAACATGCGTGAATATATTATATTATTATTCGTATCTTTCGTTATTTAAGTATTATTTTGGGAGATGGCTTATCATTTATGCAGTTGAAAGTCCATAACTCAAACCATCCAATTAATATATTGTAAGTTTAATCTATTAAAATTGATAGGCGATATTGAAAGGAAGCATAAAAATTGGTGCTCATGCTTAAGAGGAACTTCTGATCAACTATGCCGTAATTATTTCGTCGTTGTTACAAAGAAACGGCAAGGATAAAAGGGAAGGATGCAATTCATTCTCAAAACCGGTTATATTTGATAGCATGTTAAATCATTGCAAGAGCCTGAATAAAATTCTAATTAAATATCGTAAACTGAAATGAATTAATAATTCAACTTACAGTAAATCTAAGTTTTAAAGATTCAAATAAAATCGCGGTATAAATTTTTAATATTGTGCATTACCATTATAATTTTAATTTAATTATTTTCTCTTTGTAAAATTTTATAAAAAAATGTTTATAATATTACCTTTCAAAATTCTTTTGTGATTCCAAACTAATGCAAAATATTTTACATACAACTCGAGGATTCTAAATTATTTTATAAAAATTCAAGTTGAAAAAATTTTTTCAAGTTTATAAAAAATTATTTGTACACATATTTATAAAAATAAAAAATTTAAAGTAAAAATTTAATTTGAAGTAAAATTAAATTAAATTATTAAAAAGTTTTAATTGTTTTTTGCAATATCTTTAGCCAGATTATATTATAATTTATTAATCAAAAGAATACAAAAAGTATATATTTATTAAAATAGCATGGTATATATTAAACATTATATCAAATTTATCATAGGTATTAAAAGTCTCAAGTTTAATTTTAGAAACAATATAATAGATTTTGAATAAATATTTTTCTATTCTATATATCATAATTAGCCGGTTGTCACTACTATATATCCTATCAAGCCATTGAAATATAGGAAACTATAATAGGGGTTGGATTAAAAGTATATCTAAAAATATATAAATTTGTACAAAATAATAATAATAATAATAATAATAATAATAATAATAATAATAATAATAATAATAATAATAATAATAATAATAATAA